TCATTGCTATTTTAGACATTTTTCAAAATGGTTTGACACAGAGACAAATGTAGAGAACCATAGAAATGACAGCAAGGTGTGCCAGCAAGTGTCAACATCAGAAGGGCTGTCAGTGGCTCAGAGGAGAAGCCGGAAAACGTGGAGTGCACTTTAAAGAACCAAAAGGCGTGTTCCATCATAGAGTGATTGCATGCTACACAGAAGATCCTGGGTTCTATACACACACACACACACACACACACACACACACACACACATAGAGGGAAGAAGGGAGGAAGGGTCCCGCCCTAAAACTCTACATAGATAATGATCCCGCAAGGGCTGGGGAGATGGCAGTGGCACGGTGGGTAAATTGTTTCCCCTGTGTGCTGGTTAGTTTTATGTTATTAGAGACGAAGGAGCCTCAATAACAGCTGGGGCTATAGGCAAGCCTGTAGGCGTTTTCTTAATTAGTGATTGATTGGGGAGGGTCCAGCCTGTGGCGGGTGGGGCCACTCCTGGGCAGGTGGTCCTGGGTTCTATAGGAAGGCAGGCTGAGCAAGCCATGGGGAGCAAGCCAGTAAGCAGCACCCTCCATGGCCTCTGCATCAGCTCCTGCCTCCGGGTTCCTGCCCTTTTGAGCTCCTGTACTCACTTTCTCAATGATGAACAGTGATCTGAAAGTGTAGGACAAATAAACCCTTTCCTCCGTATATTAGTCGGGTTTTCCAGAGTAGAAAAACTTATAGAATGCCTCCCCATATATATAAGGGGGATTTATAGAATCACTTAAAGGCTATGGTTCAACTAATCTAACAATGGTGAGCTATGAATGGAAAGTTCAAAAATCCAGTCAGTGCTCAGTTTTTAAGGCTAGAAGCAATCAAAGACCCGTGTCTCTCTGCCTCAAGATATAGAAATGGCTCTGCCCACGTTCAAACAAGCAGAGAAAAAATTTCTCACAGGTGTGTCCTCCATGTCTGGATTGTAGTTCATCCAGATGTAGTCAAGTTAACAACCCAAAATAGCCATCCTCACTTCCTCGACTTTCTTTTTGGTCATGGTTTTTCACCACAGGAATAGAAACCCTAACTGGGACACTGTGTGTACTAGCTGCTTTTCTGTTGAGGTGATAAAACACCATGGCCAAGGCAGTCTGTGGAAGAGAGTTTATCTGAGCCCACGGAGCCAGAGTGATGGGTCCGGCATGGTGGGGAGACACAGCAGGAGGCTGCAGGCCTGGCAGTTGGAGCAGGGAGCTAAGAGCTTCATATCAAAAGAGATATCTTGCAGGGGCCATCACAGAGAAAGTAAAGAGATAGTGCTGTATTTTTTGTTTAAGTTTTATTCCATTTGTAATTATGTATATTTGTGTGTGGCTATGTGCATGCGCATGCAGTTCCCCCAGAGGCCAGAAGAGGGCTGGATTCCCCTGTGGCTTGAGTTAAAGGCTTTTGTGTGCTGGCCCACACAGGTGCTGTATTTCTAGGCCCTTATAATTTAATGGTGTGTGGTCATGCCCTATGTCAGTCGACACCTCACCCCCGTTTCGCTTTTTCTCATTAATCTTCCCAAAGAAATTTAGCCGTGATTGTTTTCTGTTTATTGAGGGTGCTAAGCTGGTTTCTGTTGGTTCTAGTCTGTCCTGTGGTTCCTTCAGTCTTTCCATTCATGACATTTTGATGTGCGTTATTTTCTTTTATATCCTTTAACAACAGTTTAAAAACTTAGTTTCTTTCTCCTCCTGCAGTGCCTCCTTTGCTGCCCCTCCCACCTTTCCCCTCATTTTTTTTTTCTTCTTTGTCTTTTCCAGGCAGGGTTTGTTTCTCTGTGTGCCTCTGGCTGTCCTGGAACTCACTTTGTAGAGCAGGCTGGCCTCGAACTCAGAGTGCTGGGACTAAGGACATGTGCCCCCACACCTGGCTGACATTTTTAATATTTCTGTTAGATTTATCTTGGGTTACTTGGAGTTGGTTGTGATGCTAGTAGAGCCTTTTCGGTTTTGTATGTGGTTACGTGGATTACTTGCCTGGTGCTGGTTTGATAGATCACAGGAAAGCTGGCGGCAGCGCAAGCTAACTGTCGTGTAGATGCGGAGGTCAGACATTGACATTCATTTTGTTGGGCTGCAGCCAGGGTGTGAGTAGGCGCATGTACCTTTAAGAGATCAAAGGAGACTCCATTTCCCGGCTCTCGGTGTCAGTCAGAGCTGGGTACCTGTCACAGCTTCTGTAGCTTGTGCCCTGCCTTCCATCAGTTTACTCCCAGCAGGGAGTCGCTCACAGGGTCTCACTACACAGTCCTCTCTGGCCTCATCTCTTCTTCACCTTTCCCCTTCTTCTCCCTCTTTCTTTCTTTCTTTCTTTCTTTCTTTCTTTCTTTCTTTCTTTCTTTCTTTCTTTCTTTCTTTCTTTCTTTCTTTCTTTCTTTCTTTCTTTCTTTGTGGTGTATATGTGTCGCACGTGTGTGCCCATGCCTGTGGAGGCCACAGTTCAACGTCAGGTCACTCTCCACCTCAGTTTTTGAGGCGGAGTCTCTCCCTGAACCGGGAGCTCACTGAGTCAGCTGGACCCTCCCATCTCCTCCCCACACCTACCCAGTTTTTCATGTGTGGACTCTCAAATTTTCACCGCAAGTGCCTTACTGACTGAGCCGTCCTCTGTCCACCTCCCACTCTCAGCTTCACCTCACCTTTCTTTAACTCTAATCCCGCTTTAGCCGGTTTATAAAGATCCTTGTTATTCCACTGAGCCTGCGCAGATAATCCGGGCTAATCTCTCAGTCACAGTCATCGCTGCCGAGGCCCTGCTGCTCTGCAGACCTAAGGATCATCAGTCCCAGGGTCTGGGATCTGGGATCTGAGGGCGCCCATTCAGACAAGCACACCTGTCCTGGTACACAGAAAGAAAAGGACTTGCTTTTCTGCTTCATCCATCTGGATGCACTTGGCCAAGCTCCTATTATTTTGTCCTGTTTTTCTATTGTCTTCAGGCAGTTTGGTATTTGGTTCATTCTCTGAGAATCACTGGCAGTTACAACCCTTTCCAGCTTTCATTTTGGTATTTGTCTGTTGTCTAGAATGTCTTGACTAACAGCAAATAATAGCCTTGAGACCAGACCTTCTTGTATTGTTGTTAACGCCACAATAAGCTGCTTAATTGTTTTACCTCGGACCGTGGCAAATGCTAATAAACGTGATTAAGCTAAAGGGCTTCTGAGAAGTCGAGTCTTTTCGAACCAGGATCTTAAGTCAAGAACAAATTTACATGTAGGAGCTATTATGAATATGAAAGTAACCATGTGGCCTCTTTTCTCTTACTAATAGCTTTTCCAATAATGATCACGTATTGTGGGAATAATTTTTTTTTAGTCATGCTGCTTTGTTTTGTGAACTACTACTCACTTTTGTTTGCTGATATATGCATAAAATTTTACTCAAAAATTAAAAAAAAAAAGTGAGTGTGCTGGCATAAAGGAAGAGGCAAGTGGATCGCTAAGAGTTTGAGTCTAGCCTGGTCTACCTAGTGAGACCCTATCTCAAAAATCAAAATAAATAAATTAAGTTAAAATGTTATATGTACGAGTGTTTTGCCTGCGTGTGTGTGTGTGTGTACTGTGTGTGGCTGCTGTACACGGTGGTCAGAAGAGGGTACTGGGTTCCTTGGGACAGAAGTTACAGCTGTTGTAAGCCACTGTGTGGGTGCTGGGAGTGGAACCCAGGTCCTCTGCAGGAGCAGCAAGCGCTCTTAACTGCTGAGCCATCTCCGATTTGCTGTTTTGTCTTCTGTGTGCACGTTAGCAAGTGAATTTGGCAGAGACTGTTCAGTGTTTGCTTTGCTGTCCCCTGTACAGCTTAGGCACTGAGAGAATTGGGAAAATTCTACTTTTTGTGTGATCTCGAACTGGTGGGATAATATTGTTCATCTTGACATTGACTGGGGTGGAGCTCAGTAGTAGGATATGTGTTAGCACAGGGGAGGTCCTAGACTCAACCCTAGTACCACAAAAACAAAACAAGCAATAGCATTAGTAGTAGCATAAATATTTTTTGCAGAATGGAGTATCCAGTGATCCAGAGGTCTAGTTGGGCACTCCTTCTAAGCTCTACCACCATCTTCCGCTTACCTGACAGTGGGGCTGCATCCGCCAGACGCAGTAATTCCTTCCTTGCTCTGTCTTGTAGCCTCTGAGGTGAGGCTGTGACTTGTAGAGCCCGTTTTCTCATTGTTAACGTGCTCAGCCTGCACAGGAGGGTCACAGCTACTGACTCAGCTTCATTCATAGAAACCTGTCAGGCCAGGGGTTTGCTCAATCCAGCCCTGCTTCTGACAGGACAACTCTTTGAGAGTTGACGGTTAATCTTCAGTCACTGCAGTGCTCCTGTGAGTGCTCCTAGCATGAGCTGTGTTATTTCCTGTCTCGGGACAGGCATCATCGCAGTCCCCTCTGGCATCAGGGTTTGCTGTAAGTGCAGTGTCTATAGTAGCCATGCCTCTGGAACAAATCCTGGGTGGTTAGCCTTTGGCTCGATTATCATGAAATAAGCAGATTTCGAGAACATGATGTGGAGATACCAATCGGGGGAAGTCCATTTTATCACCAAAAGCCAGGCTGCTTGAGATGGCAGTTTTCAGTTTCTCAGAGTGGTTCTCCTACTGAGATGCTCCCTTCGTTCAGAATTTCAAACTGACACCAATGATTCCAAATGATTTCCAAAGTCCAGGGCAATGAGTTCTAACTTACACCAAGTAAACCCAGGGGTTGGCAGTAACTTCCCTACAGATTTGAAGAGGCATCTTCTGGCTGGTGTCTTTGGTCCTTAAATCCTTATCAGGATTCATTTACTTTAATGAGCACATGAGTTTCTTGAAAACTGCTCTCCCTGACTTGAATCAAAATACTGCAGAATTCACCCCATGTAAATGCTTTTCTTAGGAAAATACTGTAATGAAATGTTAGTGGTTTTGTGGGGATTTTTTAAATAGTGTAAATTCAGTTCTTTCTTTCTTTCCCCTCTACAGCAAAACAGATCATCACTAATATTTCGGTATATAATGAAACCTGCCTGAGATGGAGAAGCCTCAAGACAGCCAATATAGAAGAGATGTATTTAGTAAGTTTCTAAAATTTACCTTACTTGCAGATATGTGTGCTAAGTGGAAGGTTTAAAACATATCTAGGGGCTAGAGAGAGGGCTCAGCTATTAAGAGGTAGTTTAGAGGACCCAGGTTCAACTCCCAGCCCCCTCATGTCAGCTCCCCACCACCTGTAACTCCATTTGCAGGAAATTCAGTGTCCTTTTTTTACCTCTCTGGGCACCTGGTACACACATGTACACAGACATACATGCAGGCAAAACACTCAGACACAAAATAAATAAATAAATCTTAAAAAAACTTTTTTAAATCTACAAAGCTAAAAAAGAATACGTTTGTAGCTGCCATTAGCAAAAGATGTATCATAATGACTGAACAAGAGGCACCCAGGCAGCCACTTCTGCTGCTCACAGAAGACAGACTCATCAGTGGGTGGTAAGGAAGCTGAGGTGTGTATCCTGGTGCAGAGTCAGTACTCAGGTAGTCTCTGGGAAGAGTCTGGGGAGCTTCAGCCACAGCAGTGTCTCTGCAGAGATTAGAGTCTCTGTGTGTAGCCCAGAGAGTCACAGGGAATGAAGGGTGGTCGTGGGGAGACAGGGGTCTTCCTAATTTCCTCTCTAGAAAAATGTTCCTTGCTCCTGTGGTTTTGCTAGTAGGCAAAACTGTAAGTGTGAGGGTTAAAAAGAGCAAGATGCCTGTGTAGAGGTCTCTGAGTTTTGCTCTTTTGTTTTATTTTTGAGAGCTTTACCAGATATCCTAGGCTGGCCTTAGGCTTTCTGTGTGGGCCAGCAGGGCTGGAGAGGTGGCTCAGAGCTTAAGAGTGTCTGCTCCTCTTCCCAGGGACAGGAGTTTGATTGGCAGAGCCTCTCACACCTGTAGCCCCTCTCCAGGAAATACAGGTCCTTCTTTGGCCTGTGTGGACACCTGCACACAGATGCACAAGCCTACTCCGCACACGTAAATAAAATATAAATATAAAACTAAGTCAACCTCCTGAGTGCTGTTATTGTAGCTAATAATCGAAATAATCAGTTTGCGCACTTTTCTAAAATATATGTATCATCCTCGTGGTATTGTAATCATCATATGTACAAAATGTGTATATATAGTGTTGAAAATTTACTATTAGCCTATTGTTGCATTTACTTCTTGAAAAAACTCTGTAGGAGAGAGGAGGAAAAAAGAGGGGGAGGGGAAGAGAACTCCTACAGCTCCGAGGTCTCAAGCCTTTCAAGCCAGTGATTCACGCTGTGAGCTTTTTATTTTTCAGTTCCACATTTGGGGCCAGAGATGGTACCAGAAGACATTTGTTCAGGAAATGGTTTTTAATACCACCAGCAACAGCCAGGCCCCTGAGCTCTGCCTGGACCTGAGTCCAGGTACCAGCTACAATGTTAGCCTTCAGGCTCTGTCTTCAGCACTTCCTGTGGTCATCTACCTGACAACCCAGATAACAGGTAAATCTTGAACAGCAGCATTTGAGTTAATGATGTTGCCACACAGCTGTTGATACGGAATACTGTTGCTTTCTGTCATGGTAAATAAAGCTTGCAAGAGAAGGAAGGAAGTGAAATTGGAGAGGGCTACAGACAGGCTAGCATCTGCCCCTACAGTGTTTCATTATGGGAAACAAAATGTCAATTAAATTTAAATAGTGTAAACCTGTGAGTTAAGCTCCTTCTGGGTATTTGAAACATTTAAAACATTTCAGCCAGTCATGGCGTCTGAGGTCAGCCTGGGCCAAACCCCCGAAAAAATCAAACAGCAGCAGCAGCAACAATGACAAACAAGCCTAAAACATTTCATACCTAAAAAAAAGATTTCTCATTACTGTGTTCTAGTAACACATTATACTAGCATTCTAGAAGTAGTGAAATGGCTCAGTGGGGAAATTGCTTGCTGTGTGAGTGTGCACTGGGGCACCTGTGTTCCGATACCTGATGCTCACAGAAAACTCAGGCATGTAACTCGCTGCTGGGGTCAGACACAGGAAGAATCTGAGGCTCGCTGGCCAGGTGGCTCACTGAATCAGTGAGCGCCGAGTTCAGTGGAAATCCTTGTCTCAAGAAAAGTGTTTCTGCCGTGAGGTGCTTGTATCTAAGCCTGAGTCTGAGATTTGTCCCTCGAGCCCACACGGTAGAAGGCCAGAACTGAACTGATCCCACTAGTCGCACACAAGTGCTGTGGCGTGTGCACATGTACGTACACATACTCTCTCTCTCTCTCTCTCTCTCTCTCTCTCTCACATCCGTGAATGTATCAATAGACTGGCATTCTGGAGCAATGCTCACCAGGAGCATGCTGGGTAGCATCCCTCTAGACCCACACCACGTCTGCTTTCTGCTAGCTTTCTCTGTGGCCTTCAAGTCTTTGAGGCTTGATCTCTGACTTCCAGCCCAAAGGTAGCTTCTTGTGTTTTGTCTCAATGAGAAATTACAAATGCCAAGGTGGAGACTCACTTCTCCACATCCGTTTCCACCTTCCTTCTGCCTGTGTCGCCTGTGTGTTTGCTCCTGTCTAAAGCTGCCAACCCCTCAAGTGTGTGCGGGATCCCATCCCTTCTTGCTGACTTCTGCCCAATGCACAAACATTCCCAGCACATTGCAATATCTTGTTTAACAACGAGCCCCTGTTCCCCTCCAGCTGCCTTCTTCAGCCTCCCATTATGTAGGAACCTCTATAGGTTTCATGTCTTCCTCGTTCTCTGGGAAGCATTCCATTTGTCTTCCAGAAAAGGTCACCATTTCTCGGCAGCGCCTGATTCCCTCCTTCCTTTTCATACAGTTCCTTCTGTCTTTCTGGCTACACCCTCTCAGCGCTCTTTGAGAGGCTCATCTCCTTTGATTGTTTCTTCCTCAGCCACTCTCTCTTCCTTTTCTTTATTTTTATGTCTAGGTGATATCTATGTCTCTCATGGCTGTAACTGGTACTTACTTAATACTGGCAATCCCCAAATCTGTACCTCTAAGCTCAACCTCTTTGTATTCCAAACTTATCTACCTGCCTTCTAAACATACCCCCAGTGAACGTAATAGACAAGTTTAATAGAATTTTAAATTTCTCATCTGTTTTGTCACTTACAAACCTATTTGTTATGTCAGTTTTCATAACTCAGTTCCTGGAATTCTAATTAGCTGGTCAAGCCAAGAATCTTAACAACTCTAATTAGCTGGTCAAGCCAAGAATCTATCCAACTCCTAGATTTCTAATCAGTTAACGAACCCTGTTGGTTTCAATCACTTCTTTCCATCTTTGTAGACATATGATTATTGTGTAATTCAAATGCTGATTTCAGTACCTCCCATAGCTGGTTGCAGTCCTTGTTCTGAGAATCTCCTGTCTCAATGTTGTGTAGACACTGCTCCCCAGTTGTCCCCTGATACGCCAATAAAGCAGCTGACAGCCAATCGTTGAACAGGAATGAGAATAGGACTGGACTTCCTGCCAGCCAGGGGAGGAGGAGTTAGAAGAGGAAGTAGGGGATTCAGCCATGGGAGAGGTTGAAGTGTGGCAAAAGCTACAAAGTACAAGCATCCCTAGCATCATGTTGCCGGGAAGTGAGATTAGCTTAGAGGGTTAAGAATAGAGTAATAACTGTTCAGTTCTTGTGCTGTGAAGCCTGTTAAAATACTAGAATAGAGTCTCGATTGTTTGTGTAATTTCCAGGTTAAGAGAGAAACTAAAAAACAAACAGTTTTTATAAAAACGACTTTAACACATCTTCGTCTTCAACACTACGAACCTGATCCTAGAAGGAATTGCTTGCTTAGACTCCTGCAGTAGCTTTCTGGGTTTTGTTTGTTTGTTTGTTTGTTGCTGTTGATTTTTTTCATGACAAGGCTTCACTGTATATCTCTGCATTAGCCTCATACTTTCTTTGTAGCCCAGGCTGGGTTCAGTCACTGTCCTCTGCCTCAGCCTTCCAAGGGCTACAGGTATGCCTGACTTGCATCGCTGTTTTTCTGCTTTCACTATGGCTAACACTGTCCACCACAAACTGTACCCTTAGTTTTCACCATATTTTTAAAAGGGTCACTCAGCAGCAATAGTGTCTTCTAAAGACTATGAGCGTAAGAGCGCCCTTCCTCCAAAGGTCTCCAGGGATTTCTAAAGCTAGACTAGAATCCAAATATTTAGCAGGTAATCCAACCCTGGACCACCTTTAAAAAAATTTTTTTTATTAATTACAGTTTATTCACTTTGTATCCCAGCTGTAGCCCCCTCCTCAACCTCCTCCCAAACCCACCCTTCCTCCCTCTTCTTCTCCTATGCCCCTCCTCCAGTCCACTGATAGGGAGGTCCTCCTCTACTTCTATCTGACCCTAGTCTATTAGGTCTCATCAGGACTTCCTGCATTGTCTTCCTCTGTGGCCTGGCAAGGCTGCTCCCCCCTCAGGGGAAGGTGAACAAAGAGCCAGCCACTGAGTTCATGTCAGAGACAGACCCTGTTTCCATTGCTAGGGAACCCTCTTGGACACTGAGCTGCCATGGGTTACATCTGTGCAGGGGTTCTAGGTTATCTCCATGCATGGTTCCTGGTTAGAGTATCAGTATCAGAAAAGACCCCTTTTGCCCAGATTTTTTGGTTCTGTTACTCCTTGTGGAGCTCCTGTCCCCTCCAGGTCTTTCTATCTCCCCCTTCTTTCATAAGATTTCCTGAACTCTGCCCAAAATTTGGCTATGAGCCTCAGCATCTGCTTTGATATTCTGCTGGGTAGAGACTTTCAGAGGCCCTTTGTGGTAGGCTCCTGTCCTGTTCCCTGTTTTCTCCCTCTTCCAATGTCCATCCCATTTGCCTTTCTGACTGAAGATTGAGCATCTTACCTAGGGTCCTCCTTCTTGCTTAGCTTCTTTGGGTGTATGATTATTCTATATTATATGTCTAATATCCACTTATAAGTGAGTATATACCATGTGTGTCTTTCTGCTTCTGGGATACCTCACTCAGAATGATCTTCTCTAGTTCCCATCATTTGCCTGCAAATTTCATGATTTCCTTGTTTTTAATTGCTGAGTAGTATTCCATTGTGTAAAATACCACAATTTCTGTATCCATTCCTCTGTTGAGGGACATCTGGGTTGTTTCCAGCTTCTGGCTATTACAAATAAAGCTGCTACAAACATGATTGAATAAGTGTCCTTATTGTGTACTTGAGCATCTTTTGGATATATGCCCAAGAGTAGTATAGCTGGATCTTGAGGTAGCACAATTCCTAATTGTCTGAGAAAGCGCCAGATTGGTTTCCAAAGTGGTTGTACAACTTTACATTCCCACCAGCAGTGGAGGAGGGTTTCCCTTTCTCCACGTGCTCTCCAGCATGTGTTGTCACTTGAGCTTTTGATCTTAGCCATTCTGATGGGTGTAAGGTGAAATCTCAGGGTCGTTTTGATTTGCATCTCCCTCATAATTAAGGACGTTGAGCATTTCTTTAAGTGTTTCTCTTCCATGTGATATTCCTCTATTGAGAATTCTCTGTTTAGCTCTGAACCCCATTTTTAGATTCTGGACCGCCTTTTTTAACTTGTCCCCACCCTTTATCTCTCTCTCCCTTACCTTCTTGCTTTTTCTTAAATGAGTTAGGCTTGTTTGTGTTCCAGGCTTTTCCATTTGCAATTCACATTTTCCTGGATGATCTCTGTGGTTTTCTGTGATTGCTGTGTGTGTGACTGTTACCACCTTGTCTCACTCTGCTCTCTGTTGCTACAACTGACTATAGTAATTTCAAAGAATAGTTTCTGGATGCTGGAAAGTCTGTGGACTGGGAGACAGCACTGGGTAGCATCTTCCTGATCCGCCATGACCTGACAGAGGGTATCACGTGGTAAACAGAGGAAGCATAACCAGACAGCAGAGTTTTATTCAGATCAACTCTCCCGATAACCCATGAATCCATGAATGGATTAACCCATCGTAAGGACAAGGTCCTCATGACTCCATTATCTGGAAAAGGTCCTGTGTCTCAAACACCACTGATGTATGGTTCTGAAATAGCTTCTGGGACATGCTCTCTGGAGACATGTTTCACCATGATACTCCTGGAGACACTTCCCCTGACCATCCTTTCAGAAACACCGTCCTCACTCTCTACCCTATTACTTTCTTTTATATGTTTATTTACTTATGTACACGGGGTGTTTCGTCTGCATGTACATCTGCACCCCAGAAGAGGGCATAGGATCCCATGGGACTATGGTTATTGATGATTGTGATGTGGGTGCTGGGAACCGAACTCAGGACCTCTAGGAGAGGTCCAGTGCTGAGCCATCTCTTTAGCCCCTACCCTAGCACTTGCTATCACTCACCCTCCTTGAATTTCTTCATAGAACTAGTTTATTTTTATTTTAAAAATTATGTTTCTCCCCTTCTAAAGTAGGAACTCTTTGAAAGCAAAGTTTATTTTTCTTTGTTTCTATTTTGAATCCCTCAACAAATGCTAATGGCACTTAACACAATAAA